ATCTGCGCAGTCTTGAGTCCTGGGACGAGGTCTGGTTTATTGAGCGCTCAGCTTGTGTCCTTTCCGTGGAACAGAAAACAGTGTCATTTCTCACAGTGAATAAAGCAGGACGATACCCAGCACAGACCTGTGTTGGTGTATTTAGAGCATTGAGAGGCCCAGGGCGACGTTAGCCCACTTTCTTACCCTCCACTAAACACTGGCAGAGGCTCAGAAAGGCCTCAAACATCTTTAAGACTCAAGGTCATTTGTTGTTGCTTCAGGTCACTGTTAGCAGAGAGACTATAACGGATGATCGCTCAGGTGCTCGAGAGAGCAGTCGAACCCCGCTGCGTCTGCGTCTCGCCCTGAAACAGATTTGAAATGCGTTTCAGTCAGAGATATATTACCGTAATAAGATTGTGAAAGAAACTGGTAAGTGATACATTTATTCATCAGAAGTGACAGTAAAGACATTTATAACGTTACAAATATTTCTATTATAAATGCTGCTCTTTTGAACTCTCTAGTCATCTGTGAACCCTGAAAAATAAAATGTATCAGTTTCCACAAAAATATTGTGCAGCACGACTGTTTTCAACATTGATAATAATCAGAAATGTATCTTGTGCAGCAAATCAGCATATTAGAATGATTTCTGAAGATCATGTGACACTGAAGACTGGAGTAATGATGCTGAAAATACAGCTTTGATCACATTTGAACAGATATTCACTTAGAACACAGCTGTCTAAATTGTAATAATATTTCACTGTTTTTACTGTATTTAAATGCAGCCTTGGTGAGCAGAATACACTTCTTCCATAAACATTAACTTACCGACCTCCAAACTCTAAACCGAAAAGTAGTGTATATTTCATACAGATGTGAAAATATGAGTCAAATGATCAATTAAGCTGTTCTTACCAATTTAGAGCTTTCATTCATAGGGTAGACCGGGGCTAGTTGTCACATTTTTAATGTTATCATTTTATTTTAATTTATCATTTACTGTTTTATTATTTGTTGTTATAATTTTTAATGTGTGTGTGTGAATATATGCACAGGTATGTACACAAGTGACTGTTTGTGAATACATGCAAATATTTTCGATTATCTTATGGAAATTAATGGTCAGCAGCACGGATGTAATTTCAGGAATTTGTTTCAGATTCAGGTTTTGAGTCAGAAATTCCCAAACAAGTGTTTTGCAAATTGATTTTTTGACAACTAGCCCCGGTCTTACCTGTATGTATTTATAAGATGCCTTCTTATTATTAGTTTATTTATTTTTGATCTACATTTATGTAGTGTGATAGTCTAATGGAGGTCAGTCTAAAAGAGCTGGAGTTCCTGAATGAACGCCGTCCGGATGAGAAGTATCTGTGAAATGTTGAGTCACAACTGAACATTCATTGTTCTTGAAGACTTCAAGCCCGTCCTGCAGCATAAACCCGTCTGGACCATGCACCTGAGCATTAACAACAGACACTAAAAGCACGTAAAAGCACTGAAATACCGTCTCACCCTCCTAACAGAAGCTTTAATGAGAGCAGACAGCTGAAAGCTCTTCGGCTTTCACACAGTCAGTCCGTCTCGCCTCCTAGTCGCAATGAAATGAGCCATGAAGGAGAGAGAGCCGCTTCAGATGCAACTCTTGCACTGGAAAGACCTGTGATATCAGAGGAATAGCAGACATTTCACCATCACCTCCAAACAATCCTGTAATGTGTTAACATACACACAGAGAGCTGGCTTTGGTATTCAGCTCATGTTCTGTTGTATTTCAGTAATCAATGCTTCTCTTACAGCTGGTGTAAACGAGACTAAAGAGAAACCAGTGTCAAATTCAGGTCAGATTTGTTGATCTGTAGATTTAATGCTTCCATGTTTTTTCCTTTGCAAACCCAGCATCATTTACGAGGAGTTTATGGAGTTACAGCATCCTCTAGTGTTCATCTCTGAACGACTCTTGCTTTCAACAGTGTAAAAATCAATAGTGAATTTCACACACATTAATAGTGTTACAATTATGCAACAGATGCATTAAATATGTATTTGAAGTATCTGTGAAATGTTGAGTCACAACTAAACATTCATTGTTCTTGAAGACTTCAAGCCCGTCCTGCAGCATAAACCCATCTGGACCATGCACCTGAGCATCAACAACAGACACTAAAAGCACGTAAAAGCACTGAAATACCGTCTCACCCTCCTAACAGAAGCTTTAATGAGAGCAGACAGCTGAAAGCTCTTCGGCTTTCACACAGTCAGTCCGTCTCGCCTCCTAGTCGCAATGAAATGAGCCATGAAGGAGAGAGAGCCGCTTCAGATGCAACTCTTGCACTGGAAAGACCTGTGATATCAGAGGAATAGCAGACATTTCACCATCACCTCCAAACAATCCTGTAATGTGTTAACATACACACAGAGAGCTGGCTTTGGTATTCAGCTCATGTTCTGTTGTATTTCAGTAATCAATGCTTCTCTTACAGCTGGTGTAAACGAGACTAAAGAGAAACCAGTGTCAAATTCAGGTCAGATTTGTTGATCTGTAGATTTAATGCTTCCATGTTTTTTCCTTTGCAAACCCAGCATCATTTACGAGGAGTTTATGGAGTTACAGCATCCTCTAGTGTTCATCTCTGAACGACTCTTGCTTTCAACAGTGTAAAAATCAATAGTGAATTTCACACACATTAATAGTGTTACAATTATGCAACAGATGCATTAAATATGTATTTATTTGTTTATTATTATAACACTATATTGGCAGCTAGGGCTATTTACATGGCAGACTCAAGAGTCGTAGATTTTAAAATAATCAAAGCTAAATAAAATAAAGAAAATCATATAATAATTTAACAATATCCTTCTTCAATACAAAAAAAATTAATTCTGTCAAACGATTAATCGCATCCAAAATAAAAGTTTTTGTTTACATGATATGTGTGTGTGTACTGTGTATATTTATTATGTATATATAAATACACACACATGAATTTTATGAAAATATTTGCATGTATATACATTTATATATATATTTAATATATAAACATAACATTTTTCTTAAATATATACATACATGTTTGTATTTATATATACATAATAAATACACACAGTATGCACACATATATAATGTAAACAAAAACTTTTATTTTGGATGCGATTAATCTTTTGACAGCACTAAAAAATATATATCAAATATATTGATAATACTTACTGATGTTTGTGCTGCTGTGTTCCTTCCAAAATGATGTCACTTCCTGAAGTAGGATGAAGTTAAGATGAAATTAAAATAAATGTTGCAAAGAAAAATAATCTTTAAAAAAAAAAAACACTTTTTGCAAAATAGTTTTTTTTTTTTGCTTTTGAATTTGTAGCAATATACAACACGCACACGATATTGACAGGTTTTTTAATGAACTCTTAGACTTATAAAATATTTATAAATAGAAAAAAAATATTATTTAACACCATATTAAAAGTAAAGGCTATTTATATGTCAGACTCAAAGTAGGAGAAATTAAAAATCAATATCAATAAATAAAAACATTTTAACAACATTTTTCTTACAACAAATTTAAAAAAGCAATTATTTAAGTTTTTTCAGTTTGATATTTGATAGAAAATCAAAATTTTCCCCAAGAAGTCATTTTAAAAATGTCCAGTAATGGAATTCCTAAATATAATCCTAACTAAATAACACAAAAATACACTAAATAGAGTCAAATCCTTGTGTAATTTCTAATAACGCTATAAATCACCATGATTTGACCAAACACACATAAACTGCTCAAGCACAAAGGCAGACCGCCAGTTATTTTTGCGCAGATTGCATTTAGTAATGTAGTAAAACGCAGATATTAAAAGGCGAAATTCAGTAAACAGCTTATTGATTATGTATATTTTGTACAGGCAAGCAGATGAAGCCAGAATATAAACACAATGTGCAAAGTTTCAGGTTAAATGGTTTCCCATAGAAAGCCATTAGAAGGAAAACACTGAACCATTAACGCATTGCGCTCATATTCCGGCCTCATCTGCTTGCCTATGTATATAATCCTAACTAAATAACACAAAAATACACTAAATAGAGCCAAATCCTTGTGTAATTTCTAATAACGCTATAAAATCACCATGATTTGACCAAACACACAAACTGCTCAAGCACAAAGGCAGACCGCCAGTTATTTTTGCGCAGATTGCATTTAGTAATGTAGTAAAACGCAGATATTAAAAGGCGAAATTCAGTAAACACCTTATTGATTATGTATATTTTGTACAGGCAAGCAGATGAAGCCAGAATATAAACACAATGTGCAAAGTTTCAGGTTAAATGGTTTCCCATAGAAAGCCATTAGAAGGAAAACACTGAACCATTAACGCATTGCGCTCATATTCCGGCCTCATCTGCTTGCCTATGTAAACTATGCATAATTAATATAGAGAATATTACTGTTTTAAATATATTAAGTGTTTTTACAACGTTTTGTCGTACTGTTTAATGATTGAAATATTGCCACGGGTGCTTAATATGAATTGCAAATGGCCAAAACTTGCATTTTGTTCACATACCTTTGTTTTATTCTTTTGAGAGGTGATCTAAATATTTGCAGCTGTGAAACAGATGGAAAATTGACAGGCTTGTCCTGCAGTTCTATGGATGTTTTGTCCTCCAGGGCTTCGAGCCGGTCATGTAACTGAAAGCTATGAATTGCTTTAATTTTCACTTGACTGTACAGTCTCGCTTTTAGTAGTTTCTTTCACTGTTGATTCACAGCGTTTAGTATTCTGGGATGCATGTTTCAGATGCTGCTGTAATGTACAGGCTTCTGACAGGCAGCCTTCACCTCCTAAATAAATCTCACTTCATCCCAGGGAATTATCAATGTCCTGTAACGGCACGGCTTCATTCTGCTGCACCTGTGCATGGCTGTCATGAGCAAGCGTGTGTGTGTGTGTGTGTGTGTGAGTG